GACATGACCGGGACCAATGATGGCATATGTACCCTGAAGTAGAGGAGTTTGGAAAACAAGAGTTCAGTCCCCTTATATTTCTATCATAGATCTCTCTCTCCCTCTCCCTGCTTCTGTGTGTGTGCGTGTATGTACATATGTGTATGTGTGTATATATGTATATATGTGTGTGTACATTAGAAAACACTCTTTTATACCCTGATGACAAACTAAAAGTTGGGTTAACTTGAGTAGAAGGAATTTATAAAATATTATTATGAGTCAAAGAAAAACCCTCTAAATATTTCCCTAGTGACCAATACCTAGACTGAAAAGTAATTTTGAATGTAAGGCAGTCTTAGAGGGAGGTTTGGGAATGATACAAATGAAGGTGGAAGGTTGGTAGCACAACTTTCTTACCTCCTTGGGTGGAACCAAGTACTTTAACCAAGAACTTGGGGATTTTCAATGATTTTGAGAAATCCCATTTCTTTGGTTAAATACAAAATAATGTAAAGAATACTCCCACAGCATTGTTCTTTTCTTCTACTTCAAAACAACAAAGAATTTGCCAAATAAAGTTAACTAGCACTTAACCCTATCAAGTTGTCATTTAATTTTTTCTGGGGTGGTAAATCTGTTCGAATACTACTCATACACAAGTGTGTGTGTGTGTGTGTGTGTGTGTGTGTGTGTGTGTGTGTGTGTGTGTGTGTACACATGTGTAGACACATACACGTGCATGCATTTTCAAATGGAGTGCCAAGGTTGGCAGGACAAAGACAAGGTTACACATTACTTATACAGAGAAAACAGATTCTAATTATGTGGCTGCAAACTGAGACACAACCTTAGAATAAAGACTTCCCAAGCACATTGAACACAAGAGGTTTGTACTTTTGCAGGGCTCGGGGTCAACAGAGCTAGAGAGGCCACAAAGAGAAATGTGCCAGGTGCATATGTGTCCTTGTCATACTCTTCCTCTTGGTTATCATTTTGGGGGAAGCTCTGTGTGTGTGTGTATAACCTGAAGGGTACTTATCACCACAGCCTTGTCTTGACCACTGGTTCTCAAAGTACCACATTTTCTGTAGCTAGTCTGAGTTGCAAATATGGCATCTCATGCAGATTGCCAGGATGGGGACGAGACTCTGTGTTTTACCAGACTATAGATGATTCTCATGGCTGCTGTAATTTAAGAAAGTCTGCTGTATGTCCCTATGAATCCCCGAAGACGATTCACAGCAATGTCAGTATGATATAAGAAGGATCTGACAAGCTTTCACCACATAATTCAATAGAAGGTGCTAGTTCACTAAAATAAGCAATTCCAAAACGCCTTTAGACACCACAATTTTGTCAAGATTATAAAAAAAAAAAAATTGCTCCTTTAGTTAGTATGAATTGTTGTCTTTAAAAAGAACAATAAAAACATCTCTGGAGGTCAATTGTGATGTGGAGCCAGGGATAAGAACCACAGATGAATGAAATAATGCTTTGTTGAACATCTAAAAAAATCACGTCTGGTTCACTTCCAAGTTTTGATACTAACATGAAATCAACTAGCACAGTACCATTCTCTGAAGTAGGATGATAAAGATGATGAAAATCAAAAAAGCTGTATCATGGCTTGTTGTTGTTTATTTTTGCTTTTTTAAGGGGCCTACCACCCAACTCCCAAATAAGTCACACATGGAAGCTTATTATGACTTATGAATGCCTGGCCTTTGCTTGGCTTGTTTCTTGCCAAGCTTTTCTTAACTTAAAATTATTCCATCTATCGTTTGCCTCCAGGCTTTTCCTTTTCTATTCCTATATACCTTTAAGTTTCTAACTCTGTGGCTCGCTGTGTAGCTGGTTAGCTGGCCCCTGGGTCTTCCTCCATCTCTCACTCCTTCTTCTTACTTTTTCTCCTCCCAGATTACTCCCTTTATATATTCTCTCTGCCTGCCAGCGCTGCCTATCCTTTCTCCTGCCTTGTTATTGGTCATTCAGTTTTTTATTAGACCATCATGTGTTTTAGGCAAGCACAGTAACACAGGTTCACAGAGATAAAACAAATGCAACATAAATAAAAGTAACATACCTTAAAATAACATTCCCCAATAATGGTTGACAAGTAGCAAGGACTAGTAAGGAAAGAACAGAAATGGAATGAAAGGGGGAGAAAGTCTAACCAGTGAGATTTTACAATAGTGCTTGAGTTCTTTAAAGAGTGGGAGTCCCTAGGCTCATGTGAGTCCATTCTAGGAACAGTGGAGTGGGAGTTGGTATTGTAGTGTACTGAGCACTGGTCACGGCACTGAATTCAGAACTGAGTGGTGACACAACATTGCATGTTTCCAAAGGGACAGAATGAGGCATTTCTTGTAATTCTTCATAGATTATGAGGGGGAATCAAGAAGAAAATTCCTATTATTAAAATCAAACCTCATTTTCTTCCTTGAAGGGTTTCTAAACTGCTATGACTACTAGAAAGTAGGGGGCAAAGCACACAGAAATGCCAGTCAGGAACTGGGCAGTGTCCTGTGTCCTTCACAATACACTACTAAAACAGCATCTATTACCAGTGGCCAAGAGCCCTCATTCAATGGTCCAGCTCTTGGATATTCTGTTACTTTACCTCTCAGTGACACCTAACAAAGTAGTTCACTCACTCTGTCCTCTCTTGATGTATGAGACAGCAGTAGCTCGCTTTCCTCGTTCCCTCCCCCCACTTGCTGCTCTTTCCCAGTGTTCTGTGCTAGCTTGTCCCCATCACACCGACCTTGTAAACAGGGGAGTACTTGACAGTCCAATCGTTGGAGCTCTCCTAGCATCACATACTCTCTCTCACAATTCAAGTTTCAGATATTGGGTAGTTGGACAGTTCAAAAGCTGATAGTATCTAATTTAATATTGTTGTTGTTGTTGTTGTTATTTGTAATAGCTTGGATCTCCTCCAACTCCAGATACATACATCTAGTTGCCAATTAATGACCATGTATTTGCACTTAGATATTGAACAAGCAGTTTAACAGATTTAAAACTACACTGTCTATATTTTACTCTGGAATCTGCTCCCACCAGGTTTAGCTGAGCTTGCTTGGCAAATGACAACTGTCTTCTTCCAGTTGTCCAGGTCAAAAACTTGGGATTTAATTTTGATGTGTCTCCTTTTCTCATTTTCCACATCAAATTTGTTAGCAAACCCTAACAATTCTACATTTTGAAGGGTCTGGATGAGGGTGGGAGCTCAACACATACTGACAAAATTAATCTAAAATGATGCAAAGGGTCTCAGTGAATTAAAAGGAATAAGAACCAGAGCAATGGAACAATTGGGTATGGATTAATAGTCAGTAAACAATCAAAGCCACAAGAGGCAGTAGATACATCCACATCTTACAAGAAATGGGAAGTTTTTCCTTGATTTCAGGCTCACTCTGCCTTTTTTAAAAGCACCTTTATTGACCAATATGGTGGAAGACACTGTGAACTGAACATGCTCATAAAATATGTAAATGATGCTAAGTAGAAATGAATAGTGAATATCTCAGGTAGCAAAAACTAGATCTTGTGAGGTAAGGAATCTTAAAATTGCATCACTGTGACTTGGAGGGATGAGATCAATCTAATTAGTTAATGGTTTTTATAAAAATAGACCTTTGTTACATGCTAAGGACAAATATTTGGCCTCTAGAACTCGAAGAGGCCCAGCAGAGCAGTATTCTTAGTCAAGAGTCAGGCTATAAATGGTAGTAAAATGTGGTGATCAAGGATATTAATTTCCTATTAGGCTACTTTGCCATTAGTAGCCAGAAAAAGTGGCAGGATGGCCCTGGCTTTATGCATTTAGTGACTAATTATTATACATTTTCAAACTGAGAGAAACTGTCATACAGTCAAGCAAGAGTGACCTCAAAGAAGCAGCAATACTTAAAATCATGTCACACAATTGAGTAAGAAAAGAAAAATAACCTCCAAACCAAGAAAATAGTCAGAATAAAATAGTAACACGGCTTTTAAAGGTAGATAAATACTCCTTTTCAGTTCTTTGGGGCCTTAAGGATAGAGAACTAGGCAAAGCAGAACAAACACAAGGAGACAGCTATATGTACCATGTAAGGAAGACTAGTAGACCAGAAGGGCTTTCCAGACAGGAAGTGATCTGCCACAGGAAGTGATCGCACCACCCAACCCAGAAGACCAAACTACTGACCCCAAACCCATAAAATTGGATGACTGAATGAATCACCACACTGGTACTATAGAACACAAGCCTTTTTCCTGTGAGAAATGAGGAAAACCACACAGGGGAGGATAGGCTGACTACCCTGCTGTATTTGTATCAGCCACTTCAAACACCCAGGCATGCACCAGTGGTTACTGGCTTTTATGTTTCTAAAATGTGTCTCTAAAGATGCAGGCTTACTAACCTCAAGAGTCAGAGAATGTATCTTCTGAGGGAAATTTTAACAAGGAAAGCATGGGCTTGAGAGTTGCATATATATCCCCTTTCCTAGAAGCCTTTGTATGCAAGTTCCTAAAGCTTGTCTGATTCTCAATCCCCTTATCTGTGAAATAGGGAGCAATAATGACAATGTAGAAAGCGAAGTGTTTACTGATAATAACTATATCATTCAATTGGTTATAAATTGAGAGGAGTTAACAAATAAATGACATCATTCTCACCAGTAACTCAACCAGTGAAGGTAAGAAAAATTGACCTCCACAGCCCAGTATCTTTCTGTGATGATGGGTGGGTTCTTTATCTATAGTATCTTGACTTATGTGTGAAGTGAGGACAAATGAGATTGATTAATTAGCAATTATTTATTAATTTCAAAACTTGCATGCGGCTATTGGCAAGCCATTGGACAGTATAATTATTTCCCCAAAGTGACTCCTTGCTGAAAAATCCTGGTTACATTACTTTAGTGAGAGACTGAAACCACAAACAATATCACGACCTCATAATAGGAAGTGCCCAGTGATATAAGGGGATTCCCATCCCACAGGGAATTCCAGAACAGCCCTCAGCACTGCCTGTGAGGGAAGGAGAGGGACTAACCTGGGAAATTTCTATGAACTTTACCAAAGAAGGTGTTAGCGCCAATAAAAGTTTTAAAGGTATTTTCCTTGTAAATAGAAGGTGAGCCAATAAAAATAATTACTTAGAAGTAGAGGATTAAGATTAAGCTCTCATTCATCTTTCACCCTGCTTTATCAAATCAAAAAGAAAAAAAAAGCCAAATTCCAAGTATGATTCCTAAAGTGACTGCAGTTCCTTGTCTAATCATCCCTTGATTTTGGTGGGAACGACCTTTAAAGTTTGGTGCTGAGTTCCCCTCTCTGTGTGTTCAACTTCTCCCAGCTAGGGAAACAATCTTATAACTACTTTCCACAAAAGGATCAAGAGTTCAAAGGGAATTTTCAATCAATTCCTGCCTAAGGCAGGAAACTGAAATCTAAACGGGACAAACGCGTGTTAGAAAAACAAGGCCAGGGCTCCCGGTCAGAACGAAGTTTTTCCTCCTCTGGCCCATTTTTAGAGAACTACAAAGAGGAATAAAGGGAGGTAGTTAATTGGTCACAGGACTTGTTGAGAGCCACCTCGACTTTCCTTTTCTAATTGACTGCTGGGAATAACACCCTCTTCAAGGAATGCTCAAAGGAGAAACATGCTGGGACAAGAGACCCCTGATGAAATGGCTTCACAAGCCACAGATCATTAATTAAGAATATTGAGAGAGAGAGGTTGAAAGCTTAGCTGAACTGAGTGGGAGGGACAACTCAGTATCAGCTGCCACCTACATATTAGCAATTAAGCCTTATAAAGGTTCTCAGTGGAAACTTACATCTCCCAGGCATCCTCCTCTTGGTAAGTGAAGAGTCTCCTGAGGCCACTGAACTCTGAAGAATACAGCATTCACTTTGGAGGAATGGTTACAAAATCGACTGTAAGATACTCCTGATTCTCAGGACCTGATCAATGGCTCCATGTCTCCATGGCTTAAAATACTGTTCCTCTAGCTTCCAAGAGTCTAAGAGTCACTGAAGATTGCTAAGGCTTGCCCTGAAGGGGGAGGGAGAACTGAGAATTGGTACTTCTAACAGGATTCCAGTAACCTTATGCAGCTGGGGGCCACACTCTGATAATCAATAACCTATGACAGTGGTGCGTGTCCCTGGACACACATAGAGATCACCTGCATGATCTCACCATTCATTCCTGGAGATGTTTCCTTGGTTGTTTATCTTTCTTTTCTTAGAAACCAAAACACAATGAGCATTTTGCACTGGTATTACCCCATGTATTCATTCCAATGCTGCCTGGGCTTCCCTGCCGACTCGCTGAGTAGAACAACTGGAGATACGGGGAACATGATAAATCTGTGCTCCTTTCAAACAGTGAGTGATGAACTCTGACCTGAGACTTCTAGAAGCTGAGCAGCAGGTAAGGACTCCAAAACATCCAAAATCTTCTGAGGTCCCTCCTGGATCTAGTCCCTGTGCAGCACACCCCTTTCCTTCTTTCGAGATCATAGTCCCTCCTCCTGACTCCTCTTAGCTGGAATTCTGCTTCTATCCTTCCCTCATTGCTTCTGCCTGAACACGGCTAGTACAGAAGTATTCTCATGAAATCAAGTTCTATGGTGCCTGTTTCTAATTTAACTGACAGAGGGACTAAATATTTTTCAGTGGTGGGGGAAAAAAGCAGCTAAATTATTTTTGGTATGTGCTTTCTGATTAACTCTGCCTTGGGCACTGGCCCTTAATAGAAAATCTTTGCCCCATCCTCAACTCCTCATCTTAAGGAAGCAGCAGGTTTTGTATGCCATACGTTGGCACCTATTGATGAAATGTGACAGTGCAGATTACCTCCCAATAATATAGTTAAAGGAAGATTCTAAAACTTTATTTAGGTTCTAAATTATGGGGGTAATTTTGCCCCCAATATACAGTTTTACTCCCACACACCATGTCTGGAAACATTTAGGGCTGCCACAACTGGCATCTAGTGGGCAGACAACAAGAGCTGCTGAGCATTCGACATGGCACAGGCCAGCCCCCACTACAAAAGATCATCTCGTTTATCCTGTCATTAGTGCCCACGTAAAGAAGCCCACGTAGAAGCTCCCACATGGAGCTGGCTGACTTCTCAGAGCTGGAGAATGTATAAGGATCAGAGGCTAGGAGGAGGAAGCAAAAGAGGGCAAATGGTCCAGAGTCAATGGAGTAAGAGCTTGGGTTGCTGTTCATCCTCTTAATGCCTAGAGCAAAGAAAAGATCTTCTAAGCCTCTGCCTTGACAGAGGTTATTGGTGAGGATTTTCATGGGGACACCATGTAACATGTTAGGAAAACTACTGTAGCCCGTGATTCACCAGCCCAACAACTGACAGACTACACCACTCCATAAAGCATTATTTACATCACTACTCACTTTTAACAATGAAGGAAGGAAAGAAGAACTGAATGAGGAGATACATTATAACAGATACTTTAGAAATGGACTATATTATGATAGTAACACCAATGTTCTTCCAGAATAACTGACCACTTTTATTTTAGGTAATTTATATAGAGCTCTATGTATAGGGATAGATGGAATATTATCTAAGGATTCTTCCATGCAACATAATTAATTTCACAATATGATTCATGGCATTAGATGCATTTCCTCTTGCTATTAAATTCCTAGAAAAATTTACCAATTAATTAATTAATTAATTAATTGTCAATATCAAATTGATCCAGCTGAAAAGATGAACATTATTGTCTTTATATCCTAATAAAATGAATAAGCGGGGCTGGAGAGATGGCTCAGAGGTTAAGAGCACCGACTGCTCTTCCAGGGGTCCTGAGTTCAATTCCCAGCAACCACAAGTTGGCTCACAACCATCTGTAATGAGATCTGGTGCCCTCTTCTGGTCATACATGCTGTATACAAAATAAATAAATAAATCTTAAAAAAAAAAAGAATAAGCATGATGGCTAGCTCTTATCTGTACTAGCCTTCAAGTTTAAGTGTCAAGTAGCTACTTAATGGGATAACTAAAACTCTCTATTTTAAAAGGGTTACATTAAAGAATTACTTAAATGCCTCGTAAAACATTATTTCCCTTATAAATGTTCACTATGGTTCCTCTATATGGCAAAGTCCATTCATTCACCTGAAAGTTATCTAACTTCTCTACTGGGAGGGAAAGAGAAGATGCCAAAACTAAAAAGAAAAGAATCAACTGCAGGGCCTGTTCTTGGAGTACTTATCCCACAAACAAGCATTGAAATCTCATATTCTCTCTGCCCCTTCCCAGTAGAGTCAGTTATTTCAGGGTAGTCAAAGTTTTACCATGTAACATGAAGTAATCTCTGAATTATAAAGCACATAAATATGTCACCAAGAAATAACAAGATACCCCTATGAACATGATTGTTTATCCCAGGCCCATAATATTCTCTACACTAATGCCTTCAGAGATATTAGATACTAAAACTGATTCAAGCCATATTCATTGCAATTGCTGCCATTATCAATGATGCAGATTCACATATGTGTTAGTAATGAAGCACACAGACTGGCTTTCTTAAGCAGAGAAGAAAAGCAAAAAAAAAAAAAAAAAAAAAAATCACCAAAGAGAAAGTGGCTAAATGTAGAAAATGATAGGGATGTTCAAGGTAGTCCCCATAACCAAAAGTGTAAGTAAGGTTAGACTCTCACAGGGTTCTAAGGTCTGTGTATACATTATACTGTTTGAAGCAAACATTCATTTCATTATAGGGATTTGTGCCACCTGGCAGAGAACAACTGATTAAAGTGAAAACCGAGGTGAAAAATTCCTTCCTTGTAAAAACTCAGTGCATTTGTAGCATTAGCCCCTTACCAGAAGAGGGTAATGGTGGCCGTGCTGGCACTCCTCAGAGCACAAAGTTACCTGCCATGAAGGTAGCGCCTGCCACAGGACACAGACCTCATAAACACCTCCAGGAGCTGCTGGTTTCTAAGGGTCATGCATACAAAGACATAGGACTCTTCTTCTCTCTTGGATAAGTGAACAGCTGTCTAGAGGATCAAGCTCTTTCAGTATGTGTCCACCTCAAGAAACAGAAGCGCTATCCATTTGCAACCCACCTTCCACATGTTAATGCTGGCTCCACGCTCCATACTCCATACTCCATACTATTTTAAAAGCTGCTCTGAAGACCTTGTGGAGGAACTATTACAGGACATGTTTGCAAGCTACAGATACCATTCTAAACACAAACTAAGTTTCCCTGAAGTACTCTAGCTTTTCAGGCTTCTATGGGGGAGTCTCTGGGCTCCATCCTAGCTGCTTTTTCTTCTTGACTAGTGTTTCCAATTTCACATTCATAAATAGGCTGTTTGTAGCTCAGGGTCTTCCACCTTGCCAGAAGCAAAGACATTTCTAATCTCCTCTCTCATTGGACAAACCAGTTGTCCTGCTGTGCAGGCTCACTCAGCACCTGCTTTGCAAACACACTCATCTCTAAGGAAGGAAAGGGATTGTTTTCAGTTTACATTTCAGGCCTAAGTCAATAGTGAATAGGTAGGTAGAGGGGCAGAGGGCACAGGATAAAGAACATGAAGAATGCATAGGGTTACATCATTCTCTCAAGAAAACTTCTATATTCATACCTTCATTTTTCAACTTGCCTAAAACTACATTACCCACCCACCCCCATCTGCTTCCTCTCCAATTCTAGCTCAATGATACCATGGCTCTCTTCTAAGACCTGACACTCCCTTTTCCAGAAGCCACATACAACCCCCATCCTGGAGTCTCCACCTATAGTCCAAGCCATCACTCTGTCTTGCTTGGTCCCCTGCCTGCATCAGTCTTCTGTAATCCCTCCCTCACCTCACCTTCAGTCTATTCCCAGAGGGATTGAACAGTGGTAAGCCTTGACCCCAACCCCTACTCCACTAGAAGAATTTTGAGGGACTTTCTACAGTTCTCAGAGAAAAGACTAACTCGGTGAGAAGCTAACCAAACATCTCAGTTTGCCCAACTCAGCCACAGTTTATGTACCACTATCAGGATAACCATTGATAGCCAGCCTCTTCTCTCCACAATCTGCCTCAGTTCTTATGACAGCTACGTGGTCTGCTGTGAGCTGTACCCTGCCAGATGCCCCCGCCTCATAGAACTCTAGTGTCCCTGCACTCGGCAGTGCTCCGTCTCTGCTGGCCACTATTCACTTATTCATTTGTTATTCACTGATCATACACCAGCCCCATGTCAGAAGGCAAGTATAAAGCAGAAGACAGACCTTGGTTCTGATGAAAGGCACTTCCCACCTTGCCTCCACCACTTCCCTGTGGGTTTGACCCAAGGATTTCTGCATTTGGGGCTTGTGTTTTCTTCATAGAAACCTGCTACTACATACCAAGGTGAGACTCCCTTTATCTAGCTGGCAGCTTCATGATTCTCCTTTTCAAACACTGATTCAATACTTCAAATTCTCCAGCTGCTGTATGGTTGGTCGGCTAGCCAGATCCTTCCAAGAGGTGATAAGTTCTGCATTTAGTATTGTTATCTGTTGATGCTCCAAAGCAGCTTTGGAAGTCTGAGAGAAGGTACTCACAAGGTACCGTAGAAAGGAGAGGGACAGCAGATCTGCTCCCCACCTTGGGGCCAACTCTCCTTCCTGGTCCTCGTACAGCTCAGGTGGTACTCCATCAGCCCGACATTGGCTCGTGTTCCCTCTTATCCTCCAAGGCACAGGGCTGCTCTGGGGATCTGGCAGTAAAGAGAAACCACCTCTCCCCTCCATCACCTCACTGTCACTCTCCTTTACACCCAGTATGACACCTCTTCTTACTCCCTGAAAGGCACTAAAGGAAGACTCAGCTGAGAAACTATACCCAAAGGCAATGTGAGCATCTAACAAAACATTTCAAGGCCAAGAGATGCTCTACTTGAATACCATCAAGCTATCCAGAAGAAGCAAGTCAAACATTTCCTGGACTGAACAACTGTAACACTGTTGTGACTTAGCTCCAACTCTCCCCATTACACAGTGGGTCTCTGCTGTATCTGCACAAATAAAAGGCCCATTTAGACAGCATCCCCAAATAGGGTTCTGAAATACTGAGTTTCTCCTTGACAGAAATCTACTGGCTTATAAAGGTCCATTTTTCTTCAGATTCTATTCATAACATTAAAATCTCCCAGTCCAAACTTTAGCTTGAGTACAAACAACACAAGGCTGTGAGCCCTCATTCAGAGGGTTTAGTTTCTGTGGTGGGTACTTTGCCTAAACATATGTCTATGTGGCACTTGTGTGCCTGTTGCCACCGAGGCCCAACTGGGCATCTGCTCTTCTGGAACTGATGATGCAATTAGTTGTGAGCTTCCATGTGGGTGCTGAGTACTGAACCCAGATCCCCAGGAAGAGCAGACATTTCTGCAGCTCCTCAAGATGGTTATTT